ATATATATATATATATATAGTAGTAGAGGGAGGGGGGGGTGGGGGGAGAGAAAGCGCTCTCTTATGCTTATATTATTGAGAATAAAAATGATAATTTTCATTGTATTTATATCTTTAAATTTTTGAAATGGTAAAAAACTGGGAGAGAGAGTATAATGATAGTTAAGATCACACTTTTTTTTTTTTTACACAATGATTTTCATAAAAATAAATTTTATTAAATAAAAATTTATTTTATAATATATAGTTTCTAGAGACATATTACAAATGGTCATTTTTATTTCCGTAAATGTTTAATTATGGATTTTGGTAATTTCTCTTCCTGATAGAAAGTGTGTGTTCATAAAGTGAGTGGCGCAACATGTACTGATAAATATAATTGTTTCTAGGGAAGTAGAAATAACTTATTTTTAAACTAGCTGGAGCATAAATTTTAATGAGAACCTAAACAAAGTGAAGATGAGATCAATTCAATTCTTAATGAACTGGTTCCAGAAAAATTGATAAGAACATGCAAAATATCAATTCAATTCTTCTGATTCTTTGGAGATTGAACTACTTGCATTACTTCATTCTTTATTTGTGTCAAATAAAGAAGAGTTGATTTTAGTTGCTACTTCTATTATAATATCTGCAAGTGGTTTCTTGTTGCTATTATATGCCAAAATTTTTCATTCCTTTGGATTTGTTTTCTTAATACAACAGTGCCAAATCATCTTTTGATTGGTAAGACAGTCAGATACAATTATCAGTTGCCATCATCTGTCTCTAAAATAAAAATAAGGCATGACCATCTTGTTCTTTTTTGTTTTCTTTAAATTCTCCTTTTATGTCATCACTATAGACACTCCTTATCATATAATTAGTTAATTTTTCCTAAATTATGACACTTAAAACAAAGTTTATCGACAGAAAGACAATTATTAGTAACTCTTTATTAGCATAAAGAATAACTTAGCTAGCTTTAAAATGGTCGCACACAAAGGATATCCAAGAGAGTCTGTCATGTTCATAACCCTCATGCATTTGCGACCATATCTTCGATGCTATCCACAGTAGATTTAGTCCACGCAAGAATGGATATAGAGGAATATTCAATAGGCTAAACGATAAAGGGGACAAAAGAGAAAAGAAAAGTGATGATGCAAAAGATAGGCAGTGTGGGAGGAGAAAAAGATGAGATAAAAGTAGGCAAATCCAAAGGCAATAAAACCCAAAGGTTGGGAGAGTGGAAAGGGGTGTCGGCTGAGTGTGAGATAATGTGAGCAAAAGTGACATGAGCTAACTATAGAACCACAAACTTCAACGGGATCTCACAGTTTTGTCATTTTTCCCCTCACCATTTATCACATCCAACTCAAACTTCTCCTTTAATCTTCCTACCCGCAAAACTTAAATATGTTCCTTGTGCGTCCATTTGTCTTCACACTTCATCTCTTTCCAACTATTTCTTGAAGCCTCAAAGTGTTCTCGTTGGACTCATCCTCCCATTTGGCCAACACTTGCATCTTGTTTCAAGATTTCATTGCTCTACTCTCAATCCAAGTAAGATCGATGTAGTTAGCTGGGTATGTTTCTACTTCCGTTTGTCTCACGATGTCAACACTAAATCGCCCAACCTTTTTATGCAGAGAGAGAGAGAGAGAGAGAGAGAGAGAAAAGGAAGGGATATGGCAGGCTGTAATGAGGGGAATGTTGCGTCCCAAGGTGAAGAGGTAAACACTCGTTGGTCTCACTCAACACAACTAGCACTTAATATAAGTTTATTTTGTATTTAAAACCTTTTCTGTTCTTGATTAAAGTTTCTAGTGAATTGGATTGGGACGTAGGAGAAATCTTTCTCGTTCCTCCAAAGAAAAAAGGAAAGTTTTTCTTGAACTCCACCAGTTTGGAGGGTAAAATCTTTCGGCTTCGTGGAAACCAATACACTCTCGTGTTAATATTCTTTGATGAGGATGTGCAATAGAGAATTAAAGGATTGATGTTAGTGTTCAGTTTAAATTCCAATTGATGATAGAGGGATTGTCTGACTTATCTTCAGGTTTCTGGTTCACTCTTGTGATTTTTTCAAGTGATTTAGAGGGAAAATATACTTTAGATTTATGTGTATGGAACATGGTTTATAATGTAGGCATTGGCTAAACAGGCTATTTTAAGTAGAATTGCCATAAAGAAAGATATAGTAGCACTGCAGTCTTATTTATCTCAATGCATATCAACCAATTAAGTATTTGATCTTTGCCCTTCAAAATGATTCTTGAGGAACGCTACCAGCATTAAGGACACAAACTAACCCTTTTATGCGGGTTCTTTCATTTAAAAGACATACAAAGACTTCTTCAGGTGACTTTGGATGAACTTAGGTTTGGCACAAGCTTGCATAGGCAAAATTACTCTATGTCGGAAAATATTTCAGAATTTTCTTTGATTAATTGTTTGTTTATCTTGAAGCAAAAGTCTATTTGGATCAAATAAAAGTGAGAAATCAACTCCTGTATAATGATTTCTGTTTTCCCTGAATTAAAGTTTAGTCCTTTAGACCCTGAACTCACTTCAGTAGTTTCTTCAGCTGCCCAAACATCCACTGTAGGCACTGTTTTGATTTTTGCTATTGCTTTTCTTTTGCTTTTGGTAGGTGAGACATACTAATCAGATCATGACAAATTATTGGGTTGAAAGGAACCTATGGACCACTAAGATTTTCCACCTCTATCATATGGAGTTGCCAATGAAGACCATAAACATTACATCAGTTCAGTTATGCCATCAATTTTTTTGTCACAATTATCTACTCCTTGTTTCTTATGCTCATAACATCTTTTTTTTCTGAGAATTGAGAAAAAAGACATTTGCATTTTTATAAAATATTTTAATTAGAGAATACATATGTTTCCATTTTCCAATTGTGTATCACTTGCTCCTAAGAATTCAGATATTTGCTTAATTCCAGGTAAAGGTGGAAAATAAGTATGGAAGCATTGTGCCTAAAAAGCAACTGATTTCAAAGGTCAGCATACTTTGAACTTATTTAGTTTCCATCCAAACTTAAACTTAAGGATAAGCATCTTTACTTTGTGATCACATAAATAGTTTTAGTAGCACCGCCATTTATTCTGGATCATGAGGACAAGAAAAAAGTCTTCTAGCATTATATTAAGATGGTGCAAATCACACTTCTACTGCAGAAACCACTTGTAGATTGCTGAAAAAGAGAAGTTGTTTGCTGAAAACAGATAAGACTACTTGTTGAAGTAATTGATCCATGTCATTTGTTCTATTTTTTCTGGTTACAGGACCATGAAAGAGCCTACTTTGATTCTGCTGACTGGGTCCTTGGCATGGTAAGCCTCTTGAATTTACCTTAAATGCCTTGAACTTATTCTAGTCTGATATAATAGGAGGAAAAAATTGGGTTAATATGCTCTGTAAGCTACCATTTCTGTTCCTTATGTCAGCAAAAGCTTTTAGAGAATTAATAGGGATAAGTCTGTCTAAGGCAGTGAATTGTTAGTAGCAACCAAGGGTAAAATACAATGTATTGGACATGGATCGCAAAACTGACTGTTAGTATAGTTTCATCGGTTTTTACTGGTCTGACCGCCAACCGGTACATGGAGCAAACCATATCTGCGAGTCCAGTCCGACTCACTTTTTTTCCTTTCAGTATCGTTTGACCACTGTCAACATGTCCACCGCCTGCATGGGGCACCTTCTTGTCCTCCTCCTCTGCCTCCTCTTCCCTCTCCTCTCCCTCCATCAATAGTACTGCAGTACATTTCGACATGGTTTAGCCATGGACCGGCACGGTCCAATAACCGAAATTGCAAATCTTGGTACAGGATGCTAATCCATTGATAATCAGAATCATTTTTTTTTAATATTATGTAGAAGAAAGTACTGTGATAAAATGTCAAACTTTAGCTCACTTTTCAATTGTTTTTTTTTTTTCAATTTAAAAGGCAGGAACAAGTTCAAAGACAAAAACTGCAACTGAATCCCTGAAGCCCAAGTTAAAGGTAGGTCGACTCATGAGTTGCTTATCATTCAATAAGAATCTCTAAAAGACAACAAATTCCCACTTCCAGTGATGGCAAACCATTTACAGCTCAGTGTTATCTTTCTTCATATAATTTCACTTTGATGATCTACGCTGCAGCGAACACCTCATCATCAACTTCCACCTCGAAAGCCTACATGCACATCGAGTTAGGAGTACAAAGGGTAATCTTCCATTTGATAGCATAATTCTGTTCTTTGCATCTTTCAATAATCTTGATTTGGTAGTTTAATTCTCGGCATTTACTAATTGATGTAATTGTACAGGATTCACAGCTAATGAGCCAGAAGCATGTCAAAGAAATCCATGTGAGAAGCCATGGAGATTATGTTAAAGGTCTCTTCTACGTTTGTCATTTGTATCTCAAACAGTCTCTACTGTTGATGAACATTGTTCATGTTGGTGGAATCTAAAAATGATTGACTGAGATTTAGCTGTACAAGCAACCTTATTTCATTTAGCTTATTAGCTTTCTTAGATTGCTCCATTCCCCTGTTCAAATTGAAGCTTAGTTGGACTGGAACAGAACATCTTTGCAAAATCATTGAGAAGAATAATTGACACTGCTTTGCTAAGTTTCTTCAGATTTTAAACTTAAATTAGCATCACCTACCATAAGATAATTTCTTTTCCTTTATCATTGTTCAGATTGGCTTCCAAGATTGACCAAGTATGATTTCGTTTTTACAAATTAGCTGCAGTGTACTGGAAAGATGGGTGGGAGCAATAATGATGTTAATATTGTGACTAGAAATAACATACTTGTCAACTTCATTCTATCAGAACCAATACACTTGGCACCAATAGAACTCATAATTGCCCCCTGAGTAAGTGGTGCCTGCAGAGACTGTGTATCATATATGATAACTCAGTAAATTCATAGCCAAATAGTGCTTAGTCTAAAGAAGTGTCAAAATTAATCAAGTTAGAATTAATCACCAGCTGGTACACCACTAAGAAACTCAGAAAGATCTTAAATATCTGACTCAAGCATCAAGGATTCTTCTTGTCATTGTCTTTAATGCTGAACACCAGGAAGCTACAAAAATGCAACAAAGAGATGGAACAAGCCATATCAAAGAAATGTATCATGTCAACTAGGCTCTTAGATTATTGATGGCTTGCTACTGAGATTAAATCTAAACAATGACATTTGTTAACCATAGAGGATGCTATTTTGATCAGTAATTCCTTGCAATTGTATATAGAGGATGGTGTTTTGCTAACTATTTTGCTATTGCAACATAAGATTTCTTGCAAGCATTTAGTTTCACACTGAATTCCAGGTAGAGCTAGTTAAGATAAATAAACTTGATTAAAAGAGAGGACTAAGATCTCTCTCATGAACACATGCATAAAAATAATTATAACTTTTAGAATTTGAAGAGACAAGAGAGAGAAGTTACACTAAAGAAGGATTCGTGGGTTATGAAAATAAAGGACAGATAGTAATTTTGATAGGTTACACAATAAAATTTATTGTATAAATGTAACCATAAAAAATTGAATGTTGTAACTCTATGGCTTTATAAATATATAAGATTTATTATGATCAAGTAGAGATATAGTGAGTTAAGAAAAAGTGTGCTATAAGGATAAATGTTGGTAACAAGTCAGTGATTACATTAGCTAATAATAACTTAGTCTTCCATGAAGGAAGCAAGCATATCAATATTTGTCTCCATTTCATTTGAGATCAAATTAAAGAGAAGAAAGTTTCATTGAGCTATATCAAATCTGGTAATCAAACTATGAATATTTTTATCAAGCTTCTCAATTTGAAGATATTTTTTAAAAAAGAAGACATCACTTGGAACGTATTATAAAAATAAATTAAATTTAAAATATTAAAAAACTTAATTAAAAGAGAGGATTAAAATCTCTATCATCTTTTTTTTTTTTTCCTTTTCTTACCAGAACTCCACTTCAACCATGAATGTGTTTCACAAGATAGATACAACACGCTTGCTGTAGTAGAACATCTAACTTTCTATCTAAGAATCACCAAAATAGAGCAAATATGAAAGGCTAAAATAAATTATAAGAAGAGCTTATAGTACTATCAATAAAAATTCAACTCTATCCCAACTTCTTTTGCATATATGGTGATGGGCCGTCATGTAATTTGATGCGGAAAACAAAGCAACACCAACAGTGAAAATGAAAATGAGAACTATCATACTACTATGTTATGATGCAGCAACTTATGTTTAAGCAAGCTGGATATATGTGTGTTTGCAAATTCCTCTCTAATATGAAGCCATGTACACTCAAAAAGTATAAGCATGAGGTTTTACATGCTATATAATCCATAGTAGACAAAGAGGGCAGAGGCTACTCTCCAACCATGGAAGAATGTGAGAAAGCTGAGCTATGTTCATTACACAGTCTTTTTTTTTTTTTATCTCAGCCATTCATTCAAATCAACTTTGACAAGATCAAATGTTATGGTGGGACGGATCAAAATTTTATGATTTCCTACCACACCCCTCTTCTTGAACATTCCATGTATTAATAAGCTTATGAGTATGTAGATGTAGATTGACTTAGTGTTTGTGCATAAACTTAAAAGATATAATTAATATAATGATACATGTAATTTAAATTTAAAAAAGATTAAGGTCTATTTTAGCTGTTGTGATTTTGGTCATGGACCACTTAAGTCCTTATGATTTATTTGTGTCAAAAATAACCCTTATATTTAAAAAAAATATAATATATAAGTTATTCTTGTCAAGTCTGAATTAACAGACATTAGAATTTATTTGTGGCATGCTGACTCATAATAAATTATTAATATAATAACATATGTAATTAAAGTTTTTTAAAAAAGCTTAAACCATCATCAATGGCCGGAGGAAGCGTCATCATGGAAGCGACCACTAGTAGCAGCATTAAGTTATTGCTGCCTAGCAAAATGTCATACGCATATAGCCTCTCCCACGTTGACGATGAGCTCAAGAGCTTCCAGTCATACGTTAAGTGGATATGTGTCAACTAGTCCGACGCTATGTCACGGACAAACTTCTAAACAAGGTGTTTGATGTAATGCTTATGTATGTCTGTGTCATTTGGCATGTTCATGCCTTGTACAACGTGTAGAGGGGCAGCCGAAGGCTTATAAGTCCCATTTTAGTTGGGTTGGTGGCCTCTTTAGGCTTGTAAATAAAGGTTGTGTCATGTGGACACGTGCGAGAGATTTTTGGTCTATAATGGACCATTTTACCCTTTGTTGTGCCACTGTTCAGAGCTTGTAAAGTCTGTTTGTAATTTGCATTGTCTATGAAGTGTTTTTCAGAGATGTTTGCTTGTGGATCCCGATTGAGGCGTTCTCTCTAACCCGTTCTCTCTTTTGGTGGTCCTAAGGGACAATAGGAGGCTTCGGGGAGGTTGACCTTTGCGGACGGACACGCAAGGGTGCCGCACGACTTAGGCAAAACCAGCTAAGTCTGTGACACATGGTATCAGAGCGGGACAAGCACTCATAGAAACACTTAGCATGCAAACGTGGGGGACCTAGCGGGGCTGCGTTGAGGGCAGTCAGCACACGCGCGACCGTTTGGGGGAAAACGGGCATGGAGATGTAGGGAAACGGAGTCGCTCAAAGGAGCGGGCATCTGACATTGGCATTCAGAGGAATGGCCAACCCTTCGCGCAAGAGGCACCACGAGAACAGGCAAGCTTGGAAGAATGTGGAGCGCACAAAGGTTGGGATGGCTGAGTTTGAGCTACGGCTCAACGTTGACAACTATACTTGATGGTGCTCAAGCCAAGCGAGGCGCTTGGTAAAGGATGAGACCATGCAAGGCGGAATGAGTTGCTCAACGACCAAAAGAGTTATGCAAAGCTCACAGAGGTGAGGGAATTGCTAACTCGAAGAATTTGGTACTCATGCATGGGCTTGTATGCGGACGATGGAATGTTCGTGGCCATCCCAAGGTGACCGAAACTCGGCGCCATGGAGCAATGAAACTTTCTCTTCGGCATGTGAAGGATACGTCCGTAGGAGGCTGAAGTGTGCAACAAGTTCAGCATGTTGCTAGGCCTTGAGGGGTGCAGCGGGGACTGTATT